TGGATGTGATGATTGGATTTAGTTATCCCAATTGTTCATAACCTGGAGTTTGAGTTGGCTATGTATGTACATTTGCATATTCATTGAATCTTGTTGGTTTTATCAAAAGCTTTAAAAGAGATATTTGGAAATTTACATGCAAGATAGTATGTGATTTTGTTACAATCGATGATAAATGTTACTTCGATTGGATCCACATTATCCACAAGACGATATTTAAGTGTAATTCTTATTGGATTCTTGTGGTTTGTAACGCTTTATTCCTCTCTGTTGATATGCTCTACTTCTAGTAATAACAAAAGGGAGACTGTGCACATCCCCCATAGGGGTGACAACGGGTCAGGTATGGGTTGGGTCCTGCTGGACCCGGATTTGAATAGCACGAGAGAGACCCGTACCTGGACTCGGACCTGACGGGTCTAGAGTACCCCTAACCGTACCCATATCCGGAATGCTGATTGGGTAGGTTCACCATCTGATAGGCGGCCTACCACATGTTATTATACATTTATTGATGGAAACTTGATAACAAGGAGAAGCAATGTTGTGGCTAGATCTAGTGCAAAAGTTGAATATAGAGCAATGGAACATGCTACATGTGAATTGATGCAGCTGAAATACTGCAGGAGATGGGCTTACTATTGTTAAACCTATGAAGATGTATTGTGATAATAAAGTTGCAACTATATAGCCAGTAATCCGGTGTTTCATGAAAGGACAAGCATATTGAAGTAGATTATCATTTTATCCGAGAGAAAGTTGCTAATAAGCAGGTGTCTACTCCATATGTGAAACCTAAGGATCAATTGACAGACATTTTCACTAAAGGACTTGGTCGTAATATGTTCCAAACAATGTTCCAAGCTCGGCATGGGCAAAATTTATTCTCCAGCTTAAGGGGGAGTGCTAAATCCTTTTGTTATTTAAGTTTTGGACCTAAGTCTCCGCATTCCATTTGTATGGCAGTTTTGTCTATATCATATTTTTTTAATAAAATATAAGGCTAAAAGGTGTGTGAGTGTGTGTTAGACCTCACGACACTCTTTCCTTTTATGTCTCTCATATCTTTCTCTCTCTCTCTCTCTTCTATTTTTTCTTTATATATTCTTTGACAATCATCTTAAGAGACAGAATGAATCTTTACACGTGAGAGAGATTATTGATCTAAAGGGCATTACCCCTTTTCATGAATCTATCTCTCTCCTAAACTAACTAGAGATCACATGGATGGTCATTTATTTAATTTGAATTGACCAACAAATTATTAAGACTAGATACATCGAAGAGAAATTATGGGGACTTATGACCTTATTGAGGGTATGGCCTTAAATAGAGCAGAATGGCAGGGCAAGATTCATGCAGCCAACCCCAATTAATTGGAAAAAGGCTATAATGATGATGATGACGACATTGAAGAGAAATTAAAGATTTGGATTAGCTAGGGGATAAAGGTGAATCTCATCCCTTACTCTACGATATTTAGTTAAGGATGAATGGCTTGGATTGAAACCTCTCTCACCCAATGGATCTCCTAAATCAAGGGCTCACAATGCACCTCCTAAAAGAGAATATTCTACACATCTCACTATACCTTAGTATATTCTATAAATTGGGGTGCTCATCCAGTACAATACCTGTTAGGAGATGCGAGTTAGTTCAAGTGGAAGGCTCAAAAAGGGCTAGGGTAGCCCAAAAGGACATGGTTGGAAGTAGTGAGAAAAGATATGGGGATTTATGACCTCACTGAGGTATGACCTTTAATATAGCAGAATAGCAGAGCACGATTCGTGTAGCGAACCCCAATTAGTTGGGAAAGGCTTTGATGATGATGATGATGATGAAATAGGGGAACTCACCCCCTCATTTCTTAACCCGCTCAAAGCATTATTATGCTGCCAAAATTTGGAGAAAAAATCACTTTGTCTGTAGCATGCCCCCCTCCCTGCCCCTTTTCCTAGAATGAGAGATATCATGGTCCATAGAAAGGTGTAGTTTCATGCGCACACCTAAACCAAAGTCAAGACTATGCAACTATATGATCCAAACATGAGAACCATGCCATTCCCACTCTATTTTGGATCATCAAGCCCTCCCTTGGCCACCATTTGCTATTTTTACTAAGCCCTCACTTTGGACCTTGACCCTTCACCTTAGCTTATTCGATATGAGCTAGTCTTCCTCAAGTTCTCTGACGCCACACATAGAAGCCATTAAGACACTACCCAAACTATTATATAATTCCCCTAAGTATCCTAAGAGCGATTGAAGTGGTTCTTGCTTGGCATCCAACTTGGAGGATTGCTTTAATCCCTTTTACCCACGATATTGGGATGAGCATCCGGTATGGCGTATATGAAGTCCCAAGGAGGTAATCCCGGGCATCTTTGAGGTAATTGGCTCTTCCATGGTCCATGATCTTTGCTTTGGTTTGTATATTGAGTTGTAATTGCAAGAGATAACTTTAATTGAACTTGTTATGTTATTTGAATGTGTTAGATGTAATGGTTTTATAAGTATATGTGACTGAATTTTGCCTAATTATAAATTGTCTTGTATTCAAGCTGTCTCTTGGTGTATTTTTAATGGAAAATGACTTGGGGCCATAATGAGGTGTTGTTTATCTTGTTTTTGAGCCCTGTATTGAAGATTTAATGGGTATATCAGTCCCTTTCCACTGCAATTTTGTTTAATAAAAGTGCATGTTATACATGCACATTTGTGCCTTTGTACACATAACACAAGCCACGTGTTTTTCTGCAGTCATGAATGGACTTGAATACCAGTTATAAACAATAACCGCCACGCACCAGGAATCTAGGTATCTGATGGCCTAACCAAGGAATTTGTCCAGTTATCAAAAAAAAAAAAAAACCAAGGAATTTGTCCTTGAAGGATTGTGCTATTGGTTTGTTTGTTGTAGATTGTGATAGGTGATTATGCTCAATTTGTTAATTTGGTACGAGACATGTATTTGGTTATATTTGAGGAAAACTAGGTGTTCTTAAGTATTGAAGACCCCCCCAACTAAAAATAAAAACCTCATACATCCTCACATGCTTTAAACAGCGTGAAACTCACTGTGTGCACCATAATGCCTGTTAAAAGTCAATAGAGAACGTACTGGAGCCTATATGATCTTTTATAAGAAAATTAAGGTTTTCGACAGATACTGTTCTGACTATACGAGGAACTGTGCTCCTTGGTTTATCTTGAAACAGGAATCCAGATGTAATTTACAGTGTGCACTGTATAGTGCAAAATCAAGCACTTTCAACAGGTTGAAGGCATTCAAGTGTGGCAATAATAACAGCAGACCCAAGAAACCAACAAAACCTTAACTTTTCAGCAATGTTTTTATCCCCATGTTTGACCTGATCTTAGAGGCAATATCTTCATAAGTCATCATAGCATGAAGATCAAGCTCTGTAAGTTTCTGAAGCAAAGACGAACCCACATGTGGTTCAGAGACATGCAGAATTGTCGAAACCTTGATCTGTATTCCAAATTTTATAGGTTGAAATTGTGGTTTAGATATGCTATTTGCACAAATTGAAGCAGAGAAAATGTAAACTTGACCTAATTTGGGCTAGACATGGATACTGGTTTCATATCCATTCTGGACATTGCAATGAATTCGATTTCATTAAATTGGTGATGGGGAACTATATACAAAATTACTAATGTACAAACAAATTAACTCATCATCATGTGCAATGAGTAAAATACTTCTTAAGGATATTGCACAAACATAAAGACATGCATTACGCAACAAATGACTGAAATGTCCCCCCTGAAGTGAGTGGATGTTTTTCACCAAGTAGATATGTCTATATTTGGTGAATATTTTAAATAAATCATATTCCTAATCCTATCCCAAGTGGAAATCAGACTATAACGCCAGGAAGTAATTTATATTGAATCAAGTGGCAGTCCTCTTCCATGTGCTTCATGGTAGGACTAGATGCTGACTGAGTGGAACTAGTGTTTCTTCTCTGATAATTGGTGTTGCACTCATCTATGAGAAAGTAATACCATCGTTTTCTTTATTGAGACATAGAACCTGCACTGTTAATCACCATATCCTCCAATAGTGCATGAAGCTTCAGTATCTTTGCTGGTAACCATGTTTTCTGTGTTTCTTATTGGGTGAGTTAATGAGTCCCCAAAATATCCAATAGTCATTAGTGGGCTCATGGTGTCTGGACTATTAACTATTATTAAATATTATGCACATGCATATTACAGGTAGTTATATATTTATGTAGACTGCCCATTGTGTTGGTCACTTGTTACGACAACAGCATTAGGCCATTAAGGCAACAGCATTTGGTCATGTTTCACATGCAAAGAATATGTAGTTTTTTCATAAAAAAATAAGAAAAAAAAAATGATTGCAAAGCCCAGCTTTCCTTGGACCCTACTAGCCTCCTGGCCTCCATACTTTCGGTAACAAGTCCTGATCTCTCCATGTATTTTATTCTCCCATACCTGTTTGTCCCCTAGGGCTTTGTTCTCATACATCACTTATCCTCTCCCACTTCCAGATAGATCCTATACCCAGTTCCTACCACTATGATAGTGCTTTGTTCCATCCCTTTCCTGAACCTAGGGAACCCTAGAAATCCTCATTATGATGTCGAATCACCAACTCCTGTGAAGTTTGGAAACAGTTCCTGATTGTTGGGAAAATAATGTTGTCCTAGCAATGCAAGGGTGGGTTGTAACCCTACAATCCATGAGGTCTGGAATGAAACCTTCAATATCACTAAGCACAGAGATCAATGGGGGAGCATTGAGAACATTGCAACATGCATTTCCCATGATTTCTTCTTAACTCTAGAACTACATTGTTACACAAATCTCGTTTTTTTTTGACAAACTAATGTCGTTGTTTAGCTATTATATGTTTTTAATTTCTAACTTCTCTAGCTATGTTTTTCCTTCATCTTTCTGCATCAGAATGTTTGAACTTCTGTTCATCTCCATTCATTTTCCTGCAGAGTTATTTCGCTGGAAACTTGGCCATCAGCACAACGCTATTCTGTCTTCTTCAAGTAGTATGGCAGGTTTCTTTGATGACTTACTCAAACTGTTAGCTAATTTTAAAAATTTTATGTCGGTACCTTCTGCAGAAGGTCATCATCTATAGCATTTTGTTATAATGGATCATCAATTTTATGTGTAGTCATGGAAAACTAAAATGCGGAGTTCTTTTTGAGCTGGCTACTTTTCCATTCTAGATGTATGACTTAGAGGTTCATACAGAAATCATGTGCATAGGGATGATTCCTAGGCTGGGGTTTCACAACTCAACATGAAATCAGTCCATGAATGGCTAATAAATAAATCATAAATTAGGCATCTAGCAATTTTATGATTTTATCATACTTTCTCAATGGGTAGTTGATTGTATAATGTTTCGTGTGAATGGTTGATATGCATCAGTGTTTGACAGCTCGGCTTGGGCCAATGCTGGCCAGTCTGAACCACAAAGCAATGAATGCCCATTCCGGTCCGATTGACTCCTTGACCAGAATGCCCATCAAACTGGTGTCGAACATAGTGGTCCAGCGGTTCAAGGCTGAATAGGCAGGTCTAGATGGGGTAAAATATTAAAGAAAGACCTCAATTTTTTCAATTTTGGGTCATTTTTCATCATTTTTGGTTGGTTTTTTGGTTCTTTTGAAAAAGAACAGGGGCATTTTGATCATTTTGACAAAATGGGAGGATTTTGAGGCTTTAAAGTGGATTTGTAGAGAGAGAGAGATATACTCTAGAGAATTGCTCTCCTTCTCTCTCTACTCAACAACCTCCAATATCATTATCATCACCATCGCCATCATCCGAACCTTATCCCAATTTTTTAGGGTTGGTTACATGGATGTGGCAAAAGTTTTTTGTTAGTTGCCAACCTAACACAACTCTCCTCCTTTTTCATCCGGGCTCGGGACTGGCAATGGTGGAGTTACCAAACAATCTTCAGTATCTTTGGGGAAAGTTTGGTGACTTTTGAGCAGGATTATGGCCATCGGCCTGTCCAATTCCAAGCACCAGGTTAAATTTATTACACTATTTCTTTCACTTGCTTGTTTTATATTTAGAAAAATTGAATTGGAGTCTTTTTTTCCAAATTAATGCAATAGGTTTTTTCCTTTATTCATTTTAATGGTTTTTGTTGCTTTAATACGTTTATTGTTGTAGGCTTTTGCTCTTTAGTTAGCTTATAATATGCACAAAAAATGCATATTATAAGCTAAAAAAAAGCAATGGAACTATAACAATAAATATTGGATTTATTAACAATTTCTTAGAAGAAAGAAAAATGTTCATAGAAAAACATTATTAGAAAAAATAAATATTAGATTTATTTACAAAATATGCATATTATAAGCTAACAAAAAAGCAAAAACTCACAACAATAAACTTATTAAAGCAACAAAAACCATTAAATTGAATAAAGGAAACAACCTATTGCATTATCTTGAAAAAAGAAGAAGAAAAAATAGATTTTTTTATAAAAAATGTTAGCATTTTTTTTTTTTTTTTTTCTTTTCTTGTTTTTGTTTAACATTTCAATGGAACTACCAAAACTGCTTATAGATGAAAAATATTCTCCTAATATGTTTTTTGCAATTTTCCTATTTTTCTATAGTTTTCCATATTTTTCTCAATTTTTATAATTTTTGATATATTTCCCTTTTTTTTATTTTATGACTTGTAACCAGTCTCAACCACTGCGTTCAACGGTTTGGGTCTTGACCTAACAACTTTGGCTTGGGCTCAAAGCTCAGGCCTTGGCATGGATGGGTTAATTGGGCAAGTCTGAAATGACTTGTCCCAATCTTGCCCAAGCCAAAACAAGGGGCCAAAAAATGAAAATACTAAAAAAATTGTAACGCCAGAAAAATGGCAAATTATAAAAAAAATTCCAAATAATCATAGTAAATGAAGAGAAATATATAAAACATAGAATAGAAAAAGTAATATATGTCATTGGCTTGAAAAATAGATAGACAATAAATCAATTATGATTGACTTAGTGAAAACTAAATCAACTTTATGAATTTAAATTGAAAAATGAAACATTCCAAAAATTTTGAGGCCGATCCCCTGATCTTTACACTCGGTGCTAATCGATGTGCTAAATCCTTGGGAGAGTTCCTCAAACATTCCCAATTGAAACCCCCAAACTAGATTTGGGTTTCGAGTTTGAATCTAGAAGATCTGACCTCTTGAAAAAATTTTGATGAATAGTAAATGCTAATTTCAAATCTCTCAAATCCTTTTTTTTTTTTTGGCCTTTTTCATGAGAAAAAAAGCTTATGGTTGGACAAAGAGTCCAAAACTAGGCTTGGGGATGAAATTTTATACAAAGATCGACTCCATTGTGAAGAAATCACAATATTCACTTGCAAGCCCTTGGCCAAATTCTTTGATCCATCTGTCTCACATTTAATGTATCAAACCCTAGGGCCTCCAATCTTCAAAAATAAGGGAAAATGGGGGCTAATTTTCCCAGCCTTGTTTAACTAAAAAGTCTATCGGATTTACCCGATTCCTGTACAATTCTTATTTACTTTATATTCCCCTGAAGTTTTGGGCACTTTCAGGCTCGACAGGGTGCCAAGCCTGAGTAATTTAGGTGAGTCCAAGCATACTCGTTGGAGTTGTCGACACTGATATTTACTGATGTTGTTGCAAATCATCAATGACAATGCTACCCTGTGATGTGCCTCTTGAGCTTTTTAAATTATAGAGTTCTTTGCTTTTATGTGTTAGTCTTATGCCTTGTTTAATTAGGCTTACTAATAAGTTCAGATTCCATCAGCACTAAAAATCAAGATAATGTTTGAGTGCACAAACTCTTGCCAGATATCTAACTAATCATGGGAACAATATGACATGGGATAAAAGAGATTCATGGCTCCGTCTCAGGGCGCTCCGCACGGCTCCCATCCTAGCTCTAGAATCCATCCAATCTACGTTCCGTATCCTTCTCTAACCAGCAGCAACTTCAGCTTCCTCACCCCACCGCTTCCCATCCGCCCTTCAACAGCCCACCTCCCTCTCTTCTTTCTTCCTTCCCACCTATCTATGAAAACTATGTTCATCTCATCCAAAATGCTAAACAACCTGCTCCCTTGAGCCTAGCCTTTTCCCCTCAGTCTTCCAACTTCCTACACCAACCCAACCCCCACCCTCCGGCCCCTCTCCACTCTCTTCATTCCCGCTTGCTCGCTCCGTTCTCCATTCCAGTAGGGGGAAAACACTCTGCCTAAATCAAGAAATCCATGGGGCTAACTCTTGTTGGGCAATTCAAACCCCACAGAGATGGTATCTTAGGCATCCAATAACACAACTACATGTGACCCATCATGCTTGCCTTCCCCAGCGCACCTCCTCTTTTCCTCTCTTTCCTTTACCTTCTTCAATCTCGAAGGCTGCGTGTCCTTCTGCTACAGCTCCCCCTCAACACTATCCTCCGTACACAACAGCTGGCTCCAGCCTTCACACATGTTCCGTGAGCGGCCCCCTCCATGTGCCCTTGCCCCCTTCTCTGTATGTGAGTGCCCAACATGTGTCCTCCCAAGGACGGTCTGATGGATGATATGGCAGGCCCCTTCAATTGCTGCCGTTAGACCCTACTCTTCTCAGGCTGCACTTCCCCCTCTCACCCTTGGCTTCATCCCGCCTACTTCCAACCCTGTTAATAGTACTTTGGCAGACCACTCCTCATCTTGTTGGCCTCCCCACCTCACGCAGTCCCCCACTCTCCATGCCTCTCAGCAGCATGTAGTCGGCATCCTTTGTCTCCCACTGCCGTTTCCTCTTTGCCTTTCACTCCCCAACTCCCTTTCCCCTTCCCGCCCCCTCTCCCTACTCTCTTCAGAGGCTCCATGCCCCATTATCCATCCCCCACTTCTTTCACTCTGCTGTGCCACTCTCTAATCTCTCTTCTCCCACCCTCCCACCTCTGAACTCCATCTTACCCTCACCCTCTTCATCCTACCCCTCTCCCTCTCCCTCCCCCAGCCTTCCCTTAGCAAACCCATTACGTCTTTGTCATTCCTTACCCCTTCATACTCTCCCACCAGCACCTCTTGTCCGGCCCCTTCTCCTTTATAGACCCCCCTTCACACCATCGCTCGGTGTTTTGCCCCTTTCCTGTCCACTTTGGGAGGAGTGTTTTCACTGCTAAGCAACCATCTGCCGCCCACCTCTTCTTTGATCCCCTACCCTGACGATTCCTGCCTCATCCCCATATTCTAGCACCTCCCCCCCCCCCATATTCTAGCACCTCCCCCTTCTTCCTTCCCTTCTTCCGGCCCCCTCTCCTTCGGAGACCCCTTCACACCCATCACTCAGTGTTTCGCTTCTGTCCTATCCACTTCGGGAGGAGCGCTTTCACTGCTAAGCAACCATCTGCCGTCCACCTCTTCCATGATCCCCTACCCTGACGATTACTGCCTCATCCCCCATATTTTAGCACCTCCCCCTTCTTCCTTCCCCCCAACACATCGTATACGCAGATGTGCTAAATCTCACTCCCCCTACTTAACTGTCATCTTATCCTCGTCAGGAGGCTACACCTTTCTCCTCGGTAGCGGACTCTTCTCTGTGCCAGTCTTTGGCTTGTGTCAAATCCAACTTCGTAGACGATTTGGATTGTGCCCAAGGTAACATCAAAGAGGTGCTCAAAGTAATGGGCCTTATGTTCGTTGGCCCAAAAGAAGCACTTGAAGCCTTCATCAGAGTGGACGCCACACCAGAGCTGTAGAGACAGCCAAAGCCAAAGCCGAAGGCAGGGCTTCAGCAACTACTCAAAAATGATAGCGAAAGCTCACCAATCTCCATTTCAAAGTAAACTATGACAAAGGGGAACCACCTGCCCCTACCCCACCTCCTCTCCATCCTCGGCACCACAGCAAGCTAGACGCTCGACGATGAGTCCCCCCCCTTCCTCCCTCGCCCTCATAATGAAGATTCTAATATGGAACATTTGGGGCTTGGGTCACCCAAACAAGCGGAGCTCAGTCCACAATTTCAATTCTAAATTTTCCCCTTC